ACAAAACCATTATACCCTGATTTCCCATTTTCAATGGGTTCAGGGTATAACAACAGCAACAAAACTACAACAAACACACACACACACACACACGTACTCACATACATAGTTAGTTAGTTGTTGAGTTCGTGTGTGTTGCGGACACAGTTCATAAGAAATTTACAAGTGCGCGACGCCTGTTTCCGTTGTTGTTGTTGTTGTTGTTGCTAGTGTTTTTTTTGCTTCTGCCAAGTTCAGAGGTCTTGAACTTTGCAGCTACCAAGGCAACTGGGCAACTGCAGCGCCATTGTCACTTGAACTGGCTCAAAATGTCAACAAGTTGCTCTGCCGTTGCCATAGTTGTTCAGCCTCTTCCAGCAGTTTGTTGTACTTCAAAAGTAGTTTTCCCAGAATGCTCACTTGGTATCTATTGGACTCCGCTGGTTTCAGAGCAGAGGCTTAGCACAAACTTGGGCAGCAAACAGCGAAGTAGCCCATGGCCCAGATATACCCTATAAATAGTAACAGCAGCCAAGCAACCGCTCCAATGGAAAATGATACGATGTAGTAGCTAAAAGGAAAACCTATCGATCCATCCTTCTCTACCTCTCTCACCAGCAATCCTAACGTCCAAAGGGTATCTCGCAGTCATGCACACCCGACTGGCCCACTCTTTCTAGTTATTACTTTGCTCTCTGTTCCTCCTTGAATCCGCAATTCAATCAATTTATCAATCTGTCTCTTGCTGGACTACTCCAATCCATCAATCCTTTCATCAGGGCCAATAAGGCATTTCAATTCATATCGCAAACTAGTTTCATCAATCAGAGAATTGCTCATCGATCACACCCATTCAAGGGTATTTTCACTTCGATAACACTTGTACTTGTGTGCCACATATACATTTTGATTTGATTTCTTTTAATTTACGATTATACGTAATTTATGACAGTTTTATGTGGCTTGGGTTCTTTCCCATTCTGATATATAATATTTTCGGTCTCATTTTTGCCGTTTGAGCTGCGTAAATTTATGAGTTTGGCGCGTTTCCGTTTCCGTTCACAATTAGGCAAGCGAAATAAGCACAAAAAAATGGAAGTCTAAGAGAAATCTAGAACTATGCCATGTAGGAAGAGAGAGAGAGAGAGATTGTGGAAAGAAATGGAGATTGAGAGAAAGAGAGAAATAGATGAATATCATTCTATGAAACTATTTGAGAAAAGCATAGTATGCGATTTATTGAAATTTAAATAATTGAGAAGTGCATAGAAGGGCGCTAATTCCAACAGAAATTCGATTTTAGCAAATCAAATTTCAATTCAATTGTGTGGAAAACAATTCCAATTCACTAATCCCAGAGCTGATGCCAGCAGAAGCGCTAAGTACTTAATCTGTATATATTATTAAAATTATTATTGAAAATCCGTAAGCTTAGCTTTAATTGGTAGAGCTCTAAAGCTAATTCGCGCTAAACAGTTAAATTGTTGCTCAACTCTTTTGGCCCTCCGGCTCTCGCCCATCTCGTGCTGTCCGCCAGCTTATTTATTAATAATGCATGTCACTGCATTTACATAGCCGCGCCCCGAATTGTTTAAAGGCGGCCTCGCCATGGGAGTAGTGGATGATGAGGAGTAGGGGGAGGAGAGGGGGGCGTGTGGCAAACGTTTCGTGGTTAGCGCTTTACACATGGCAAACAAAACGGTTTCACAATTGCAGACAATGTTGCAGAGCTGCCACAAAACAAGACAACAAAACTGATATTCAAATGACATCAAAATAAAACTGGAAACTGCAAAAAATCTACACTCGAAAAAAGAATCTAGGAGAGCCAGCCACAGATAGAGAAGGGAATGCGACCATATTTGTGGACTATGGTAAGTAAGTCTATGTATTGAAGGGAAGAGCTACGGCTGGCAGTAAAATAGGAATAGAAAACGTTTTAAAGATCTTCTGCAATACCTTTTCGATAAGAAGCGTTCTCAGTTTCATAAGAAATATCATAAAAAATATCTCTGTAGTATCTGTAGGAACAGTACTATCTGTAGGAACTGTACTATCTGTAGTATCTATAGGAACTGTACTATCTGTAGTATCTGTCATATCTGTAGTATCTGCCATATCTTTAAGATCTGTAAGATCTGTAGTATCTCTAGTCTCTATAGTATCTGTAAGATCTTTAGTAACTGTAGTATCTATAGGAACTGTACTATCTGTAGTATCTATAGGAACTGTACTATTTGTAGTATCTGTAGTATCTGTAGTATCTATAGGAACTGTACTATCGGTAATATCTGTAGGAACTGTACTATCTGTAGTATCTATAGGAACAGTCCTATCTGTACTATCTGTAGTATCTTTAGTATCTGTAGGCTCTGTAGTATCTGTAGTATCTGTAGCATCTGTAGTATCTTTAGTATCTGTAGGCTTTGTAGTATCTGTAGTATCTGTAATATCTATAGGAACTGTACTATCTGTAGTATCTTTAGTATCTGTAGGCTCTGTAGTATCTGTAGTATCTATAGGAACTTTACTATCTGTAGTATCTGTCATATCTGTAGTATCCGCCATATCTGTAAGATCTGTAATATCGGTAGTATCTGTAGTATGTGTATTATCGGTAGTATCTGTCGTACCTGTAGTATGTGTATTATCGGTAGTATCTGTCGTACCTGTAGGAACTGTACTATCTGTATCTTTATTACTGCAATATCTGTATCTTAACTATCTGTAGTATCTGCCATATCTGTAGTATCTGTACCACCTGTAGTATCTGTAGTGTCTGTCATAGCCTTTACCTACCAGCTATAGACCTGTTCTAAACTGCAATTCCACCTGGTAAACTCTGGCAAATCTCTCAGTGTGATTTCGTTGTGCTGTTCGCTTAGCAAAATGATTTTTAAATTTTGAAATGCTTAATATATATGCTTTAATTGCATATTTTGCGCTTCAATGCAAATGGCCCAGCCGCGATTTATGTGCATCATTGTAGATGTGTCAATGTGTGCGTGTGCGTGTGTGTGTATTTGCATATGTATTTGGCAAAAAGTATGCAACGCATTTCATTTAGATAACCGCAAATATTTACCACAAATGCATTCGCATCACATTTGTAACGTGACAAAATTCCCCTGTGTTAACAGCCATGCCACGCCCTCCACGCCCTCCACTCCCACACTCCCACTCTCACACACACACACACACACTTAACGTGTTAGTAAATTACGCTTGCTTGCCTGTGTGTACGTGTGCGCGTATGTGTGTGTGTGCGCGTGTGTGCAGGTGAGCGCGCGTGTGTTTACAATGTGCACAAAATATTTGTTGCATACTTCTCGGCATAATTTATGCATTTCAATTGGATTTGACGGAGCGCGTCGCAAATGCCGCGGCAAACGCAACTGAATCTGCAGAATTTTTACTGTTGATTCTATTTGCCCCGCCCGAATCTAACGCAAATAATAATTCCATTCGAATTTGATTGTGCGTCCGTCTGCCATTTGCTATTGTGTTTTATCAAATGTAATTCAATTGCTCACGCCTCACATATTGGCATTTATGCATGCATATGCATGTAGTTTCCATAGTCCATGACAGCTATCGATTATTTTTGGCAGTTGGCGATTCGATTTGCAAATTGCAATTGCATTGTCAGTCGCTAATCCGGACATTAATTGCACGGCATATCGACAGCATTCGATTGAGCTCTGTATCTGGAGAGTCGAAACTATTGATTATCAAACGTAAAATCGATAGTTATTGGTGGATTAAAAGATTATTCTACTCACTATATCCTGGGTGATTGAGGTTGAAACTGCAATCGATTGTATTTGCAACAATCTAACATATGTATGTGAACTTTACTATTCGCTCCATTAATCATGCAATGATATTATCAATAGTTAAGCGTAATCGATAATTATCGATAGGCTATTAACATTGTTTAGCTATGCAAGTGCACAATGGAGGTGCGCATACATTTACTTTAAACACATCTGCACAAGTAATTGCCCTTAAATGTCATCGATAGTTATCGATAAGCATTTTCCACTTAATAAATTTATTTTAGCGTTTTTAATAGCATATTCATGATAATCTTACCGATATACTTTAATAAATTTACATGCAGCTCAGCTTAGTGCAACAAAAATATATCGATAGTAATCGATACAGCTTTCTTTTGCGATTTTATCTTAACTTTCTTCCACAAACTAAAGCCGAGCTAGGCGATTCATATTCATCCATAAATTTATTATGTTCTGGGTATATTATAATATATATCGATGCACTGGGATGTAATTTATTGTGCTCTTCAGACCATTAGCGCATTTATGTGGTTGTTATCGAACAGCTGCTTAGCGTTGACTGCGGTGTGGCGCTATGCTCTGCACGATCAGCGACAGCTGCTTGGGGCGCAGGGAGTAGACGTTCAGCTGACGCTTTATTATGCCATAGCTGACCGCATCCTGGAGATTGAGTACCACCTGGCGCTGGAATTCCGGATCGCTGCGTCGCAGACGTGTGGCCAGCGTTGAGATGATTTCCGTGTCGCGCATCGGACGCTGCGTACTCTGCAGAAGCTCCAGGATGATGCGCATCAGATGGCGGACCAGCGGACGCTGCTGTGGCATCCGGCGCAGCTTGTAACCCACCTGCATGTTGCGTTGGCACTAATGGTCGCTAGGCATCGAAGGGAAAAATTTCGAAAAAAAAAAAAAAACTTTTGAGGAAATATTCGAGAGTTGTGTGAGACTCAAAATAATGAGAGTGAGTGAAAATATGAATAGAGCCCGGCAGCTGAGAGCTGCTCGACAGTTGGGGCAAGGCTAACGCGACCCAGCGCCGCCTCATGGCCAATTAATCAAGGCTGCACAGAAAGGGAGAGACGAGCAGGAGAGCCGCATGAACTTGAATAACCTCACGGTATGAAAACGAAACGGCGCGAACAAAGGCGGCCCACGGACAATACAGCCAGCAGCCGGACGAATATGTGCGGGCGCAACAACAACAAGAACAACGAGAACAACGTGAACAACGTGAACAAGCGCGAGCCGCCAGGACATCAAGTGACATTTTGAGCAAAGACAAAAAGTCATTATCAAGGCGACAAGGCAGCAGACAGGACGACAGCCGAGACGAGGACTCCTGCTCGTGCACTGCGCTGTGGCATGTGGAGCACGTGGTTGCGCTGTCGCCATGTTGCTGCCTTTTCCGGCATTTTGTTTACGATTTTTGCCCGCAATGCCCCCATCGTCCCCGCACGCCTCCCCGCCACTTGCACGGATTTCCTTTGGAGCCAAAGTTGGCGTCAGCGATGCCAGTTTTCCCTGAACGATTTGCACTTGTTTGTGCCGCTGGCTGCTTTCTGTTTGAATTTTTCCCCAACTCGATACCCTGTGCGGGCTGTGGAGAAGTGAATGTGACTAATCACATCGAGTAAGCGAAGTCGCTGAGCGACTTTGACTAATGTCATAGGCGAAGTACTATAGGTAATTAACAAACTCGATAATTATCGATTGCTATCCAGGAGAGGCATGCGAATATATGTTAACTAACTCGATAGCTATCGATTGGCACTTAGGAGAGCTAGCCGGCTATATATCCTTTGGATATTAATGCTTACTCACTCACTTACGGTTATCAAACATGTAATCGCATTTCGATAATTATCGATTTGTACTATAAACTTATGCTTCACTTTCTATCGAAAGCACTTAAAGGTGTTTGCTTAAATTCATATAGAGCTTAGACAAGATCTTGAGATGAGTCCCTCATCGATAAATATCGATTACGCTTATCAATCATGGAATCGCATTTCGATAATTATCGATTGGAACTCAAAACTTATGCTTCCCTCTCAATCGAATACACTCAAGGTGTTCGCTTAAATTCATATAGAGCTTAGTCAAAATCTTGAGATAAATACCCAACGATAAATATCGATTTGCACTATATTGCGTCTGTAGGAGGACAGGCATCTCATTCGATATGTTAGCTCAGATCAAGATGACAGTGACTTTGTGACACAGACAAACTTCTGCCTACCCACTATCGATAATTTGATCACTTATCGATAGACATTTGCTTCCATTCACCATTTAGCTAAAGTTGATCAAACAGCTGCTCACCATTGAATATCAAGAGCCCAAAACAATTGGATGCAGAGTACAGGGTATTCCAAGAGCACTCTTCACTAGTTGTACTCCCACTTATTCATTCTTTTCTACCCATTTTTTGTAGAGCAGAACTCTTCTCTCACTGAGGCGTCTCCTTTAAGCCGCCAAGTGCAATTGTCATAAAGTGTCATTGGCTGGCGACGTCGCTGCTGACGCCGACTGCGACTGTGTGTGTGTGTGTGTGTGTGTTGTTGTTGTTGTTGATGCGGTGAATCAACTTAAATGAGTATCCGTAACTGGGAAGAAGCAGAGAGTCAAATAGCTCGCCGGGCTGCCACCCAGCCGACAGGCGAGAGGAAAAGCAATTGGCTTTGTGCGCGATTTAGCTTTGTGTTTTCCCATTGGATGCCCCTGAAAGGAGAGCGGAAAAGAGAAGGAGCACAGCGAACGGTGGAACGGTGGGGACTCAACTGGGAGCTGGGAGCACAATGTCGACCACTCGACGCAACTGGAGCCCGGATCTGTGGCCAGTCGTCGATGAGTCAGTCAGCCTTTTTACAGCTGCCAGACGCAATGAAGCACCTTTTTGGCTCCGGGTCCTTGACGAGCAACAGATTGTGACTAACGCATAGTCGTGGACAAATCTGGATGGATGAAAGCAACCTGGAAGAAAGTTAAGCCGCTTGATGTCTGACAGTTTGCTAAAAAAAATCCAGAGCTGTTAGTGGGAGTTGGTTGACGACCTAGAGAGGGTGGGAGAGAGACAAAGACAGAGAGAGAGAGAGAGAGAGAGAGAGAGAGAGAGACAGCGAGGTATGGAGCGAGAAGGGGAAAGGCAATGGTGAAGTGGGATGGGGGGAATCAAAGCTTGAGAGGGAGTTAAAAAACAGAGGAGAAGAAGGGAGAACAGAGAGAAGGAGAAGAAGGAGAAGAGAGCTAGAGCGAGAGCGAGAGAGAGAAAGAGAAAGGAGAGTGCGAGTGGACACATAAATAAAAGCTCACAGCTCTTCTCGATCAATTAGGGAATACTTATGCATAGCATTAGCCAACACTGGAAAGCATTAGCACACAACGGTACATGTGAAATAACGGTATAAGAGTAAGAGTAGTGCTGAGCCAAGAGAAGGCAAACAGAGAGTCAGGGATCAGTGGAGCAGCTGCAGCGAAAGCTGTGTATTTAGGTGGTTAGATGGGGGGGTGGTGGGTGGGCTGTTGGTGGGTGGTTGCCTCTGGCATTACGGGCTAGTTAGAGCCCAGTTATGCGTCCACGCAGCGGCTGTAAGCGGCTTAAAAGCAAAGCAGGAGCCAAAACGAATTATGCTGCATAGCCGCAGGCAGCCCAGTCACATGCACCAATGCATGCATGCATGCGTCTCTGTGTGTGTGTGTGTGTGTGTGACAGGTAGTTTTTGGCGAGGACAACTGCTGGCATGTGGCCAAAGCAGATGCCAAGCTCGCCGGCGGGCGGTCGGCTGGAGTTGGGTTGCCCAAAGCTCGCGCTGAGCTGCGACCAGATTGAAAGTGACAGCGCGACGGCTGCGAAATGTGTGAAGTGTGCCATGAATGGGCCATCAAACCGAAGAAGAAGAAGCAGCAGCAGCAGCATAAAGAAAAACGAGGCTATGGCCCACCTGCGTGTGTGTGTGTGTGTGTGTGGCTATGTCAATAGGTATACGGCCCGAAATCTGCTTTTGGCAACGGCGCGAATTGAAACGCCAACGCCAAGGCACATGCCGCGCGGCAGCCCAAACAATTGCTGCATAGATGCGCAGAGCCAACAACCAACACCCACAGTAACAACACACACACACATACACAGCTGCCAGGCAGAATGACAAATGCTTTGATGCCGGCAGCAGCCAAAGCTGAAGCTTTCGGTTGGACACTGGCGTCACTTTTGGCTTCTGGACGGCACAGACGGCGACATTGAGCAATTGCTATGCATAAATATTCTCACACTGCACACACACACACACACACACCCACACACTGATACAGCAACCACCTGTCGTTCGCTTTGGGTCTGGCTGTAAGCTGTTTAGCTCATAAACATAAACAAGAGCTGTGCACAAATCAAAACAAGCGCGCGCAACATGTTGCCAGAGTGCATGCGCACTGCTTGCCCAGCAACATTGTTGCTAAGCACGCGAATGTTGCGAGAGCGCGAAAGAGCAAGCACGCTGCACTTGCGCAAAGCAGGCAACACTTGAGGCCAGACTCACAGCATGTATAGAGCAAATGTTGCCAATGATGACGCGTTACACCACGTGCAACATCTATGAGTGAAGTGGGCAAATATACATACATATGTATATGTATGTAGATATGCTAAACTGCATTTATTAAGAGGGGATTTTTTTTTATTTTTAATAAAAATTTCTGTAATTATGTTTAATGTGAGATAGGTGAAACACAAACCTATCTCACATTAAACATAATCCTATGAGCATTGGAATTTAATTTGTATAACATTTTTTTTTATTTTATTTATTTATTTATTTTTATTTTTTTTTTTTTTTTTTAATTTGTATATTTTATTAACAAGCTTACTGCTACCAATTCGGCAACTTAATCTAGTTTTACATTAAAAATAATAACGAAAAATCCTAGATCTAGACTAAGATTACATACATATATATGTGTGTTAATACTACTATATTATTACTATTATTATTATATTAATATATTTTTGTTTCTTGTAATTTTTATATTTTATATATTTTATATATTTATATATTTTATATATATATTTTATTTTTATATTTATTTACATTATTATATTCTTTTGGGTAGGTCTGTTGGCTGGCACTTTTTGAGGCGTCTCTTCCTCGGCTTGGCAGTTAGCCATCTAGCTAATACATTTTCGGTGGCTGTCAAGACGTTTAAGGTAGGACGTCTCCCACCTTTGGGACCTTTAGATCCTTTTCAATGTCTCGAGTCCTCATGTACCATGGAGCATCGCAGATTCGCCTCAGAATCTTTGCTTGGGCGATTTGTATAAAATAAGAAAAGTAAGTTATATTTACATTTAGTTTATATGTAATCACATTTTCCTTTAGGCTTTTGGCTATTATTTTGGTCATGTTTCATATTAAACTCTATCAATAAATGAATTTTTGTTCATTGAGGCTCTGTTCCTCTTCACTCAGTCACTCAGGCTTGAGCTTTACTTATCTTATATAAAGTAGAACTTAAGAACTATTATTTTAAATAGACCAAAATCATTTGATACGACATCAAAGCGAATATTTATCAGCAGTACTCGAATCCAAGTGAAAGATATATAAATCTTTAACATAGGAATCTTATCATCACTATGATTAGACTCAACAGAAGTTGGCAATACTCGACTAGCAGTTATCCTAAATCTCATTAAAATCAAGCAAATGTTTCAGATGCTCCAGCAAATACTTAATACATGTATACATCTACCAATTCTAGCGTGTTTCTATGGTATTTCCATGGTATTTCCATGGAATTCCTTTGCTCGACGTTGCAACTGCATAACATAGCAGTTCATCATTAGTCAAGTCTATACTTGCATGCATATATAAATAGTTGCA